TAGGGAAAGCAGCTATGTGAATGAGAGGATAAATGGATCAAAAAGTTATGTAAATGGGTGGGAAAAAATTCAAAAAGCACACAAATAGGCTGGAAAAAATCATGCAAAAGGATAGAAAAAGGTCGATAAATTAGTTGTGGGATGAACCTTAAATTATAATATACATAGACAACAATAAAATATATATATATATATATATTTAAATAACTTTTGTTATCTAAAAATAAAATTAAGAATATTAGATAGATGGTAAATAATATAATATTATTTATTATTGTAATATAATGTATATAACTATATTACTATAATATAATATACTTAACTAATATGTTTTTATATATGATATTATAATATTAGTATAATAGAAATAATAGTATATAACATATGATGTTATAGTTTTGAGAGGAAAAATAGAGTGGGAAAGCGGGTGGACGGAAACCCTTTATTATAATGTAGAGACATAATAAGACTTACAAAGTAAAATTTGCTAGATAATGGATGCCAGCTCATAATAAGCTCCTTCAACTCATCAACAGCCACACCAAGTTTCTCAAATAGCTTACCAAGCACTTCGTTAGAAGCTAAATCAGAAAAAATAGTTGTATCAATAATCGGCTTCAACAACTTAAGCGTTTTCTCTGCCTTCTGGTAATACTTTGATACAGGTTCTGACTTCATTTTTTCAGAAAACGATAAATGCAAAAATGAGGATATTGCATCAGATAGCACCTTTAACAAAGATATCTCCATAACAACTGCACTAGTAGCCAAAAAATTGTTCAGTAGTATGTCATTAGGAAACCAGAAACAGAAACCAGAGAGGAAAAAAAACGGACTTATGTCTTGATTGAAAATGAACAAGACAAGGAGAAAAATCTCTAATCCAAGGTTTCCCCTTTGTATGATGGATCTAATGCTCAATTCTCAATTGATACAAAACACAAGGCTACTCCCTTCTACCTGATCTATTTAAGTTAAATCTATGTTCTTCCATCCTCTGTAACTAACTAACCAATTGTTCTAGCTATTTACGGTAACTAACTTAACTTGTACCTATTGTCATTTGGAATCTTTGACATGTGCAGATCTGAATGAACAACAATATAATAACTCAGATATTGCATTATATAGGATGGCATAGGATTTGAGGAAACTATAAGACCTGATATAATAAGAAACTGACAAGCCTTTACTTTATAGAACTGTATTAGCTACCTGATAGTATGAAGACCTAACAATTTGTTAGTGGACTTTATATAACCTAATTATGCAATTAAATGCCAATTTAGAAAGGAAACATTTTTAGAAGAAAAAAAATAGAATCATGCTTATGCATTGCATTTCCTATCTGATTTTATCCAGATAACGTCAATATAATAATGTTATAAGATGTTATTATCTAGAAATCATTGCACTATTTTGCACAAAAAACAAATATCTGTCTTCACTGGATAACAATAGAACTTGATTTTCCAGTTGAGTTAAGCTAAAAGCACAGTAGGATCAAGTGCTCAACTTAACACAATTCCAATAATAATCAATAAAAGCTTTATCCCACTTGGTGAGGCTGACTATATGGATAAAACAGCAACCTTGTGTTCTTCAAAAAAAACTAATTTTTCATAGTCATCTTTTCCTCAGCAAGTGTAATTCCAACTTTTTCTCTACCATAAATTTGATTTTTATCTTGTCTAAATCATCTGTCCATGCATAAAGATTCTACAAATTTTTAGCTATCCATTACACAACACAATCCACCTCTTATACTCGGTCTAGGTACTGGCTATGTAATAATTGGCAACAAAGCACCACACAAGCATAGTTAGGCTCAATTCAACTCAATGAAAAAGGGGGAAGGAAAAAAGTATAGAAGCATGATCAACTCAAGTGACCAAACAAGTAACTGCTGGGTGTATCAAATCAAACACAACTTGACTCCACGTTACTGAAAATCAATTTTCTTCACTTGAGCTCGACCACAAGCACATTCCAATCAAGAATATTACAAAATCAGTCAAAAGTTTTGAGTTTCAAGCAGAAAAAACATAACATTACACAACAGTGAAGCAAGCAAGACCAACAAAGAAATACAAGACTAAACATCAAATGGTCAAGGTGCAGAATAGAAACTCAACAAAAACACTTACCCTTTTTTATTATTATTAAGAAACACTTAACCTTTTGGTACAACGAAAATACAGTGATGAAATAAGGTGTCAAACTCAAAATTATATAAATAAATAAACAAACAATTGAGAAAGTTGTGAAATGCGAGTTTTACCAGAAAGAGGTGAAGTGGTATATGGGTCCCAGGTGTTTGTTAGAGAAAGGGGGGAAAAATGGCTGTCACCGCCGCTCAAATAGGTTTTCCGGCCACCGTTGGAATGGGAGAAGCTGTAAAGCCACAGTGGTGATTCTCAAATAAATGTGAAATTTTGGGCAACTTCTAACCTATGCTTTGACTTGCATAAAAGTAAAACGTGTGAAACAATGCTTTTTTCTTTTCTTTTTTTTTTTCTTTTTTACGCAAAGTATGTTATTATATAATTATATAATACCAAAACAAATAATATATATATATATTTCCATTTCATTTATTATATTTATTATGAAGTGATGGGTAATTTTATAAAATTTTATTTTACATGAACTTACTCATAAAAATGTGATAGTTCAATAGAAAGATTTAGTTTCATACCTCGTAATAAATTAATATTTGAATCTGTTTGAAAGAGGTGTTCATGTTATTGCTATAAAAATATCATAATATAAAAAAAAAATTGATACTGATTAAAAAAGAAAATCTCTTGATATTTAACTTAATTACGTACGATACTTTAATTCGAGACAAAATAATTTAAACAAGTTGTCCACAGGTTCAATAGAAAAAAAAAATCAATAAAAATATCATCTATAATAATTTGATTAAATATAAATATAAAATTATTTTATATCGTGTGTGTACGAAATCTTTGAATGCTCTAACCTTTGGTGTTTCGGCGAAGTTCTTTTAATTTTGGTCGAGAGGTATAAAAGTCATAAAAGATCAATATTTTACAATTATATTGTTATTTTAGAATGTGATGTTTGTTATTATGATTCTTGTCAATGACATAAATATCAAAAAAGTAAACGAAAAACTTTGACAAATTCAACAGAAATAGAATAAATTAGTCTTTATCTGTTTTTTTTTTTTTTTAATGTTGAGTTGGTCAAATTATATACAATGATAAATTTTAAGTCGGCGAGTTTGATTTTTCCTAATACGTGTTGCTGTATTTTCATTTTTCCCCCTTTGTTTATTCTTCTTTTTGTAGGGCCTGTTCTTATTCTCTCTCTAAAAACAATTGTTCAAATTTGCTAAACTTTCCCATTTATACAAATAGCTTAGGGTTTTTGTTTTTTTACAAATAAATATTAGTTAAACTTTAATTATTCTAATTATTTTTGTTCTAGTAAAGGGATAGCAGCCGGAAAACCCTTAATAATATGAACTAAGAGAACATAGTTGTTGTCCTGACCTAGAACATTCAAGAATGAGAAGAACATGTCTTTCACCAGTCTTCTTTCTCCTTATTTATAAGTCTATGAACCGCATTTATAATCATAATCAAACCTATGCAAGAATCACAGGAATCACAACCTTTATTAGTTTTACCGGAACTCACTCGTCAATACACCGATGACTAGCCTAAAGTTTGGGTTGCTATGTCGGATGGGAACGAGGAAAGTATGTACTGTTCAGCCTGCTTAGCCAATTGGAGACGAGGAGGGTAAAATTTTTAAATAATTTTAAAAATAGATAATTTAAATTTCATCTCCTAGCCATTACAAATAAGCACTTCAAACTTCAATCTTATTTTAATTGTTTCTTAAATTTTTACTTTCTATATATAAAATATTCAATTCAACTATAGATATAAAAAAAAAAAAAAAAAAAGAGAAAAAATGATATCCATGAAAAGTTTTTTAGATTTATATTTTAATGTAATTTTTAAGTAAAATTCTACCTTATTTATGTAAATTCATATTTATATTTATCCATTTTATGACACTCGTTGATATTTATATTACACATCTTTGCAATATTTACAACTTTGATAAAATAACATAAAAAATTAGCTTAAACAACTTAAAATAACTCACAACTTTGTAACATGTTTAACTTACTACGTATCAACACATATGTTATTTTACATGATCACCCATACAACTCATTCATCAACAATCAACTGTAAAACAACTTCAAGTAACAACTTTTTATCATACAACTTGTGCCCAACGCCATTGAGAGATGAAACTCCTTGTCTCGTCCATGCCTGACATCGCACCACTCATGTCCAAAATGATTGAGGTAGAGAGTACTCCACACTCTTGTACCTAGTGTGGCAACACCTACGTTTGGCCCCAATTAGATAAAGAGCTTCGTGCCTGACTCTTGCCCAATGCCACACACACAAACACTCGACATGAACTCAGGCAAAGACGAGTCACTCTCCTCATGTCCGACACTATTGATCTTGTGCCCCATATTAGTAAGATAGAGACTTCTTAGGATAACACAGTCTCAAAGCTCTTAATAGTGACTGCCAACAAAATAACAAGAGTTATGAATTGATAGTGTTACAATTCTCTTTAACAAGACTGGGACATCCTTACCAACTACCTCTTCCTTCCCCTTCACTAAATATGATGAAGTGGAAGCCTTAGCACCAATCAACACAAAAACTTGACTTGTAGTGGTCGGCCGCTCTACACTTTGTGCACCCCTATTTAACTGGTCTTTTTTAGACAATCTCTAGCAAAACTTATTACACTGAGAACACTTGGAAGTGGTAGTCATGCAATCTCTCACAATGTGTAGTCCCCTATATCTATAACACCTCACATCCGGTGCCCCACCTTTAGGTGCATCCGCATGTTTCTTTGTGATAGAACTCTCTTGTTGAGACTCAGGTCTATCATAATGCTTCCTTAGACCATTACTCCTCTTGGATCCAGTTGGTCCCTTAGTAGTCTTCCCAACTTTATTGCCTCCCTCAAGTCTTTCCACCACCTTCACCTTCTCAACCAAGGTCGAAATATGCTTTGATGCCTAAGGTAGGAAAATATGCTTTGATATGCACGATATGCCCTGGTATGCATGATAAGAAAGAGATAAAACAAACATGCTATGACATATATAAAATGTAACATCCCAAATTTTATTCAATATTAATATTAAAAGGAGATTACAATGTAAAAGCACCTGAGAGGGAACACAATTAATAATATATACCGCAGAACTAAAAGCATCAACCCAATAATTGGTAGGAACATGTGACTGATACAACATTGCAAGACCAATCTCAAGAGCATGTCTATGTTTCCGTTCAACCCGACCATTCTATGCTTGAGTATGCGGGCATGAGAACCGATGAAGCACACCAGAAGAAGCAAATAAATCTTGTACTTTGTTATTCGTGAACTCGGTGCCATTGTCACTTTGGAAAACTTTAATAAATCGAGAAAATTGGTTTTCCACAAAAACTTTGCGTAT